GTGATGCTGGCATTCCCTATGGGCAATGGTTCAAGTCCCAGCTGCTCCACTTCCTATTTACTTCCCTGCTAATGTGCCTAGGAAAGCAGCAAAAGGTGGCCTAAGGGCTTTGGCTCCTGCACACATGTGGGAGACCCAAAAGAAACTCATGGATCTTGGCTTTGGCTTGGCCCAGCCCTGGCTATTGTGGCCATTTAAGGAGTGAAACAGGAATTACAAGATCTCTGTCTCTCTCTTCCCTCTTTAACTCTGCCTTTCAAATAAGTATATAAGTACATCATTTTTTAAAGTGCTCAACTATAAAATAAGCAAAATAAAAGCAGAGTCTAGAAGACAAAATAATAGTTTAATTTAAAAAAAAAGTTTAGGAAGTTTTTTTTTTTTTAAAGATTTTAGCTATTTATTTGAGAGGTAGAGTTACAGACAGTGAGAGGGAGAGACAGAGAGAAAGGTCTTCTGTCCACTATTGCACTCCCCAGATGGCCAATCGAGCTGCTCCAACTGAAGCCAGGAGCCAGGAGCTTCTTCCCAGGCTCCCACACGGGTGCAGGGGCCCAAGGACTTGGGCCGCCCTCTACTGCTTTCCCAGGCCATAGCAGAGAGCTGGATTGGAAGAGGGGTGGCCAGGACTAGAACCGGCTCCCACATGGGATGCTGGCGCTGCAGGAGGAGGATTAACCTACTGCGCCACGGTGCCAGCCCCAGCTCCCAGTAAGTTACATTCTGTGTGAATTTTTACTTTTCTCCTAAAGGCAGTATGGCAACACTGGAACGTGGGCACACTCCTGAGCGATGTAACGCCTTCAGTGCATTAACAAAGTTGAGTTTCTGAGCCTGTAAAGCTGAGGACTGGACTACAGCAAATCCACCCAAATAAATGCTCACATGTGAGAACTCTTGATAGCCAGTTGGCTAACTCTGTCTGGTGACATTGATGCCTCAGGAATGCTTTCTTTGAAGCACTTGTATTTTTCATTAAATTTTAAAATGAGTTAAAATGAAATAAACTGTTTTTTGCATATTATCAGCCTATCCAATATCAGTGGGAAAGTTACAATAACCCGAGTTTTTATCTTATAAAAGGTGAAAAAAATTCCTGGCATCAATTTCACTTGAGGACATTTCAGATACAAGCAGCATTTTCTTAAGACAGTATTATTTTTAAAATTGCAGGCAGCAGTTTAACCTGCTGTGCCACAATTCTGGCCCCAGCATTTTTTTTTAAGTGAGATGTTTTTAAAAAGTTAAATGGAATTATTACCTTTGTTAAACCTAAGCAGCCCACATACAGCTGTGAGTGTGGGCTAGATGATACAGTAGCCTTGTGTCCGACTCGGGATCTTAGCATGAAAGGGAACACAGCTCATTTAACAACTTCATGTGGGACTCCTGCCCTAGAATTCCAACCACTGCCTGTGCAGGCTGTGCTGTGAATATGTCCTCTGGGTCACCAGATGAGATCTCTTCTATTTAGAAATTTCTGTATTGAAGATGAGAAGAATAAACTCCATGTGTGAATATCACAGAGTTCTGTTTCAAAGGCTTTTGGGAAAAGGATGAAGACAATGTATAGTTTGAATGCCTTATGCATTTTAGGCTTTTCATGTTTACTTGAATGAAAGAACGTATGAATCAGAAGAATGAATAGATGTCATTTAGTTAGTTCTGAAAAGCTGACTATATGCTATTAACCTAATAAGAACTATTAGAAGCGTCATGGAATTCCTTTGTTAGGAGAATCACTATAACATGCAAATTTTCGGAAAAGATATGATATCCACGAACTTATCTTGAACAACAAAGGTAACTATGCTAGGTCCCAAGGATTGTCCTTTCTCTGAAGAAATCTAATGGATCAGGATTTTTCCTTTTTTTCCATTCCAGTGGGGGTGAATGGTGGAAAGGGCGGCAAAGCAGGAGAAGCAGTGTAGTGTCCTGGAAGCAGCATGGCCATTGAAGCCAGTCAGTTCAGACCCCCTTCTATTTGTTAGGTGTCTGCAATTTGGCCGTATGATTGTTCTGAATCTCTGTTTTCCCAGTTTATTATTTTATTTTTATTTAAAGATGGATTTTTTTTTTTTAATTTGAAAGGCAGGATGACAGAGACAGAGACAGAAAGAGATCTTCCACCTGTTGGTTCACTCCCCAAATGGCTGAGATAGTTGGGGATGGGCGAGGACAAAGCCAGAAGCCAGGAGCCACGAACTCCATCTGGATCCCCCACATGGGTGCAGAGGACCAAGTACTTGGGCCATCTTCCGCTGCTTTCCCAGACACATCAGCAGGGAGCTGGATCAGAAGTGGGGCAGCCAGGACTTAGTGCTGGACTTGGTGCTGTGCCACACCAGCCCAATTTTTTTCATTTTAAAAATAAAGATAATGCTAACTTGGCAGAATTATTGTGAAGATTAAATTAAGGAGTCGAAAGCAAGGAACACAACTGGCTGATACAATGAGTTTGACAATGGTAGCTATTATTCTTACATTTGGCAGCATTTCCTAAAACACTTATGGAGAAGAAAATAATAATGTTAAGCTTACTCTTGTTTTTGTTTATTTAATTAGACTGAAAGAGTTACAAAGAGAGAGAGTTCAATCTTCTATCTGCTGGTTCACTCCCCAGATGGCCTCAACAACCAGCTCTAGGCCAGGCTGAAGTTAGGAGGCAGGAGCTATATCCAGGTTTCCCATGTGGCCCAGGGGTCTAAGCACTTGGGCTACCTTCCCCTGCTTTTCCAGGTCATTAGCAAGTAGTTGGATCAGAAGTGGAGCAGCTGGGACTCAAACCAGCATCCATGTTGGATGCTGGATGCTGGCATCACAGGTGGTAGCTTTACCTGCTCACCACAATTCTGGCCCACTATGTTTATTTATTTTACTTTATTTTTAAAATTTATTTGACAGGGTTAGACAATGAGAGATAGACAGAGAGAAAGGTCTTCCTTCCGTTGGTTCACTCCCCAAATGGCTGCCAGGAGCCAGGTGCTTCTTCCTGGTCTCCCAAGCGGGTGCAGGGGTCCAACCACTTGGGCCATCCCCCACTGCCTTCCCGGGCCACAGCAGAAAGCTGGACTGGAAGAGGAGCAACCGGTACAGAATCCGGCGCCTATATGGGATGCCAGTGCAGCAGGCAGAGGATTAACCAAGTGAGCCACACGCCGGCCCCTAATACTGTGTTTATTTTTAAAGAAGAAAACTTTAAGTGCCAAGAAGGGATGAGGTATCCTTTAAGAACTTTAGAGAATTGCAATATCCAAGAGGTGACAGCAATATCCAAGAGGTGACAGCCATCCAAATGGCAAAGACTTTTTTTTTTTTTTTTGGACAGAGTTAGACAGTGAGAGAGACAGAGAGAGGTCCTTTCTTTCCTTGGTTCACCCCCCGAATAGGTGCTATGGCCGGCGTGCTGCGCCGATCCGAAGCCAGAAGCCAGGAGCCAGGTGCTTCCTCCTGGTCTCCCATGCCGGTGCAGGGCCTTCCCGGGTCATAGCAGAGAGCTGGACTGGAAGAGGAGCAACCAGGACAGAATCCGGCGCCCCAACAGGTACTAGAACCCGGGGTGCCAGCGCTGCAGGCAGAGGATTAGCCAAGTGAGCTGCGGCGCCGGCCTGTCAAAGACTGACTTTTTTTTTTTAGTCAAAACTTGGAATGCAGCCGGGTGCTACTAGTGTCTGGTGGTGAAGCCAAAGATACCGCTAAACATCTCATAATGTATTGGACTGCCTCCCAACTCATACCCCAATGAAGAATTCTCCAGCAAATGTCAATAGTAGTTGAGAAAACCTGGTCTGTATGCTACCTATGCTAAATAAGAATTATAGGAGGCCACTGTTTTAAACTAAGCTCCTGCACGAGGACCCAACAGACGAGGCTTAAGATCAAAATGTAGTCACCCATACTGAAGTTTCATGTCACCAAACTGAAACTAAGTTGTTATCTGACCTTCCCAGAAAGCAGGATTAAAGAGATAATAACAAAATGTCCCAAACAGGCCAATTTCAATCAGCACGATAATGAAATTCTTTCTGGTGTAATCCTTTCACGAAAAAGAAGAAAACTGAAGTTGATGTTAACCAGTCAGCTATTTTTCTATTGTTCTCTTCACTTGTTCCCACTTTAGAAGAAAAGCAAGGAATGAGCAATCTGCATTCTTTACCCTTTTTTTTTTTGCCTCTAAAACCAGCCTGTTTTGCTCTGCTCATGTGAAACTCTTATTCTATTTATGGAATGAAGTGTGGCCTGATCCCAGAATCACAAATAAAATCAATCAAGACCTTTGCTTTTCTCTTCTTCTTGCCTCTTCCTCCCACCCCCGCCTTTTTTTTTTTTTTTAAGTTCATTTAATTTGAAAGGCAGAGAGAGAGAGAGAGAGAGAGATCCTCCATCCACTGGTTCATTCCCCAAATAACTGCAACTGCTGGGACTGAGCCAGGCCCAAGCCAGGAGCCCAGAATTCAGTCTGAGTCTCACACGTGGGTGGCAGGGACTCAAGTACTTGATCCATCACCTGCTGCCTCCCCGGAGTACACATAAGCAGGAAGCGGGACTGAAAGCAGAGGAGCTGGGACCTGAACCAGGCACTCAGATATGGGATGCAGGCATCACAAGAGGCATTCTATTCATTATGCCAAATACCTGTCCGGTTCTCCTTGTAAATTATAAAAATTTAATGAGAAAGGGAAAGAATTGGTCCATAACCCGTCTGGATCAGTATTGACCAATGTTGTAAGACTTTTCATCAAATCAAATACGAGAAGAGTGAGCCTAAAGGAAGAAGCAGCAATTTATATCCACCTAGTATCTGCCTATCATTATCAGGCAGCAAAAGGATCCAGGAGACCTCACAAATGATTCCTAATATTTCAAGACGTAAGGTGTCTTACTAGTTATGCTATGGCATTTAAACTTGGAATTTATCTAGTCTGGAAAACATACCAAACATACCAAACTATTTATAAGCCACACTTAAAATGCATTAGACATTTATAAAAACTCCAAAATGTAAATCAGAGTATATGAAATTTATTTTGTAACAAAATAGACAAAACCAACTATGAAGTATATTATTGTTTGTACTTTATACATTTTGATTATGCTGAGCTCGGTTAATTAAACAGTAGTTAAAATGAATATTAAATTAGCTACTTAATGCCAACCACATGATTACAATGAGCTTTTTCTTCCATGAGGAAGAGGACTTCAGGAGTAATAGAGCAGCATGTACATTGCAGCCAAACTATTAGGTTTTCATCTTTTGCTTCTTAGACCACTCAGGTGCTTCTTTTTTGGTCTGTTGAAAGAAAAAGAAAAATATGTTCAAATAGATTGTTTACTAGGAAGATCAGAAAGAAGAATTTCAGAGAACTAGTATATATCCTTGGGGCTTTTATGTAAACTATAGTACAGATTTTTTTTTTTTTTTAAATTCAGAAGTATATTTAAGCAAAGGTCTTGTCTTCTGTTAGAAATAATCACCACCTGGTATATATGTAGCAAAACCACACATCTATATTTTCTTTTTTAGAAAAAGATTTATTTATTTGAAAGGTGGGGGTGGGGTGGGGAGAGATGTCGTCCATCTGCTGGTTCACTCTCCACATGCCAAATGTCTGCAAAGCTGGGAGTCTGGAACTCCATCTGGCGCTCCCATAGGGCTAGCAGGGATCCAAGTACTTCAGCTATCATCTGCTGCCTTCCGGGCACACTAGCAGGAAGCTGGATGGGGAGCAGGGTACCTGGGACTTGAACTAGGCTCTCTGCTATGAGTTGCAGTTATTCAAAGTAGTGGCTTAACCTGCTGTGTCACAACACCTGCACCTACTTATATATTTTTCTGATTTAAAGTCTGTTTTTTTCCAAACATAGTCCAGAGACCACTATTTTATAAATTGATTCTATTTTTGGTGAGAATGATACAAAATCAAGGACACAACTTCTTTTTAGTTGTCTCATCTATATAGGGATATTCATTAACTCAAGAGGTATTTATTGAAGGATTATTATATCAAAATTAGTGTAGTTGACTCCTCTGAGTTGCTAAGTACTTTCCAGAGTAATTCTTGGGTTTATTGCTTAATCAATTCAGCCTAAAAGGGGCCGTATCACATAGAGCACTAGGAAAAAAGCAGAGAAGGCAAACATTACAAAACATTTAGGACTCCTTATATAAGGCACTGCTTCCAAGCAGAACACCCTGTTTTATATTATATAGTAAATTAAATATGCAGTTTGGTTCTTTACCACTTACATCTGCTTAAAACTATGAAGGACCGTATTCCCAAATATATATGTTTATATGCGTATAGGTAAGTATGACAGCTTTTTCTTTTATCCTTTTAATTTTTTTATATCATAGCTAATGCCCAAATTGCTGGAAGTGACATCAGTATCATCTCTTGACCTTATCCATGGTCTTAGCCAAAACAAACCAATGAATTCTTGCTTCTCCTCCACCTCATTTGTATACCAGTCCTCTAACAAGTGTTAAAAATACTCACATAAACCAGAAATGTTAGAGTCCTCTTCACTTTAGATTTCTACATGCATTCTGAACAGTGTCTGGCTCTTACTGAAATATCTTTTTAACTCTTTACCCTGTCTGTCTTGATCACAATGGATGACCTTGAATTTCATTTCTTCTGGTTTAGCTTCTGCAAGAGCTTCCTATTCTGACTGGCTCTTTCTTCTACTTTCAATTCATCATTCACAATCCTCTCAAGCTTATCTTTCTGTCTTAAAAAGAATTATTTATTTAATTTATTTGAAAGGCAGACAGACAGAGCTCACTTTAGCTACCTCCTATCTGCTGTTTACTCCCCTAGAGCCTGCAACAGCTTGGGTTGAGCCAGGCCAAAGCTGGGAACAATGAATACAACCCAGGCCTCCCATGTGGGTGGCAGGGACCCTAGGACTTGAGCTATCAACTGCTGCCTCCCAGAGTGCAAATTAGCAAGAAGCTGGAATCAAGTGCAGAACCAGGACCTGAACCCAGGCATTGATATGGGATGTGGGTGTCCCAAACTGAGTCTTTTTTTTTTTTTTTTTTTGACAGGCAGAGTGGACAGTGAGAGAGAGAGACAGAGAGAAAGGTCTTCCTTTGCCGTTGGTTCACCCTCCAATGGAGGCCACGGCCGGCGCAATGCACTGATCCAAAGCCAGGAGCCAGGTGCTTCTCCTGGTCTCCCATGTGGGTGCAGGGCCCAAGGACTTGGGCCACAGCAGAGAGCTGGCCTGGAAGAGGGGCAACCAGGACAGAATCCGGTGCCCCGACCAGGACTAGAACCCGGTGTGCTGGCACCGCAAGGTGGAGGATTAGCCTATTGAGCTGCAGCGCCGGCCCCCAAACTGAGTCTTAACCTGCAGGCCAAACGTCCTCTTTAGGTTTATCTTTCTAAAACGTCAGTCTGCATGAAAACACTATAGTTGTTCTTTCTTTAGAGTCGAAAGGCCTTGGTATTAAAGGTGAAAGAGGCTTCCATGACAAAATAAGGAAATCACTAGGGAAAGGTCAAGTATTATTTGCCAAGAGAATTCAAACGTGGCCAGCTCTAACCAAATCCAAAAGAAGTCAAAGTATAAGCCAGAATGCCACTTTATCATTTGGCTAGAAACATCTTTCAGTTTTCCCAGGTTTATTTTTTAAGATTAATTTATTTATTTGAGAGGTAGAGTTAGAGAGAGGGAAAGACAGAGAGAAAGGTCTCTTCCATCCATGGGTTCCCTCCCTAAATGGCTGCAACGGCCTGAGCTGAGCCGAGCCGATCTGAAGCCAGCAGCTAGGAGCTTCTTCCAGGACTCCCACGTGAGTGCAGGGTCCCAGCCACTAGGGTCATCTTCTACTGCTTTCCTAGGCTTTAAGCAGACAGCTGGGTTGGAAGAGGAGCAGGAACCAGAGGACATGAATCAGCACCCATATGGGATAGGGCGCAGCAGGCAGAGGCTTAGTCTACTATAGCACGGTGCTGGCGCCCAGATTTCTTTCTTTCTTTCTTTTTTTCTTTTTTTAAAGACTTTATTTCTTTAAGAGTAGTTTTTGGTGCACAGAAAAACTGAGATGAAGTTCTAGAAATATCCCATATATTCTCCATCTTGACACATGCATGGTCATCACTCACTATAGCACACATCTATTAAAATTGATGAACCTGCACCAACACATTATAATTACCCAACTTCTAACAACTTACTTTGGGGGTTAACTTCTGATGTTCTAAATTCTATGGGTTGAACAAATGCCTAATGAGCGAATTTAACACTATAGTATTATACAGAATAGTTTCATTGCCCTAAAAATGCCCATAGATTTTTGCTTCTATGTTCATAAATGACACAGGTCTGTAGTTTTCTTTTTCTGTGTTATCTTTGTCTGGTTTTGGTAGTAGGGTAATGCTGGCCTTGTAAAATGAGTTGGGAAGTATTTCTTCTGCTTCTATTTTCTGAAACAGATTGTAGAGAATTGGTACAACTTTTTCCTTACTTGTTTGGAAGGCTTCAACAGTGTCTTTCTGTTTGAGAAGGTTATTAGTTATTGATTCAATTTCTTTCATACATATAGGCCTATTCAGATAGTTTATTTCTTCTTGTGTGAGTTGTGCAGATTGCATTGTCTTTCGAAGAATTAGTCCATTCTATCTGGGTTATCAAATATGTGGACACAGTTCATAATATTCTTTTATTTTCCTTTTAATGTTCACAGGATCTGTAGAGATGCTCCCTCTTTCATTTATGATATTGGGAACTTTTGTCCCCCCCATCCCCTTTTTTTAGTTAACTTGGCTAGAGCTCTGTTGATTTGATTATGTTCAAAGAACCACTGACTGCAACATCAGCATCCCAGATGGGTGCCGGTTTGAGTCCTGGCTGCTGAGTCAGGAACTTCATCTGGGTCTCTCACATGGGTGGCAGAGGCCCAAGCAGTTGGACCATCACCTGCTGCTTTCCCAGCTGCATTAGCAGGCAGCTGGATTGGAAATGGAGCAACAAGGTTTTGAACCAGCACTCGGAAATGGGATGAAAGTGCTGCGGATGACAGCTTAACCTGCTGCGCCACAATGCTGGCCCCTAGTTATTTATTTTTAAAAGTTCATTTATTTATTTTTGTTTATTTGAAAGGTAGAGTGACAGACAGATGGAGATACCTTGCATCCACTAGTTCACTTCTAAAATACCTGTGACAACCAGGGTTGGGAAGGGTCACAATCAGGAGCTAGGAATTCCCATTTAGGTCTCCCACATGAGTGGCGGGAGACTCAAGTACTTGAGAGGTCAACTGCCTCTCAGGACATACATGAGCAGAAAGCTGGATTGGAAGCAGAGGTGGGAACTAATCCCAGGCACTCTGATCTGGGATACTGGTGTCCCAGGTTGTGCCACAATATTGGCCTCCCTTTTGTGGTTTTAATTGGAATCTCATATGATTCCATGGTCTCTTCTTTCCTTTTTCTCAGTTTTTTAAAAGATTTTATTTATTTGAAAGGCAGAGTTAGAGAGAGAGAGAGATATCTTCCATTCACTGGTCCACTCCTCAAGTGGCTGCAACGGCTAGGGCTGGGCCAGGCTGAAGCCAGGATCTAGAAGCTTCATCTGGGTTTCCCACATGAGTTTAGGGGTCCAAGGACTTGACTCATCTCCTGGTTTCCCAAGTGCATTAGCAGGAGGTGGATCGGAAGTGGAGCAGCCAGGACTGGAATCAGCATCCATAATGGACGCTGGCATAAGGTAGCAGTTTACCCTGTTATGACACAATGCCAGTCTGGTCTCTTCTTTCTTAGCTTATCATTACTTTTTACTTCTTTTTTTTTTTAGTGGTTGCCCTAGAGTTTTTAACATATGCTTATAATTAATCCTAGTTCACTTTCAAATAACACAGTACAACTTCATAGGTAAGAAAAGTACTTACAACAAAATAACCCCAATTCTTGTGCCTTGTCCCTTGTATCATTGCTGTCACTTCCCTTTCATACATACATATATATGTTCTATATTTACATAAGCACAAGTAACTGAGTACATGGTTATTATTTTGCACAAATTTATCTACTAATGAAGAATAAAAATACAACACTCATTCCCTCTTTGAGGCTCTCAGGTATGTTTCTGATCTATGCTCTTTTTCTTTTCTCTAAAGTACTTCTTTTAACATTTTTTCTAAGGAAGGTCTACTGGCAGCATGTTTCTTCAATATTTGCTTGAGACAAAGTCTTTATCTACTTCTAAATAGGGTAACTTTTCAGGGTTCAGAATTCTAGGTTGGTGTCTTTTTCTCTCATTGTTTTAAATGTTTCACTATAG